ATGCTGTGTGTATTAGATATTAGATAATAGTGATGATATAATGCATGCCATCTTATGTTTACCTAAAGAAGCTTTAGGCCAAAGGTTTATTCAGTGAATGTACTGTGGTATCGATCAGGCAGGGGTCAGGTGAGAGGGGGATTTCAGGTTCGGTCCCCAAATGCAGGCAGAGGAGCAGCACTAAGACAAGGAGCTAGGTTTTAATGCGCAGCCAATCACATACAGCTGTTAAGTAATGGACACGCCCGGCAAGATTCTAAAAAACTGTACCGGGGGAGGCGACAATCTTAGACAGAGAAACTCCGGAGACACAACGTTGTAGGTCGTATTGGACTGCGAAAGAAAGATCCTCTATAATTATTATTATATTCATATTCACAGCATATTTCTCTCAGTTTTTAAAACCTTTTTGATTTTTAAGCTCAAGCCAGTTGATTCTTTTGACTGAAGGCAAAGTGACGGTTCCTTGTTCAAGAAAAGTTTTTACCCCATAAATTCCTGCTTAACATGGACAGCTGGGGTTGCAGTGTGTGTGTGAGTGTGTGTATGTGTGTGTGTGTGTGTGTGTGTGTGTGTGTGTGTGAGTGTGCGCGCACCTTTCGCGCATGAGACAGATCCAAAATGTTCTGTTGTTTTTACGACTTCCTTTACAATAAATAATGAACGGGCATATAAAGTCGAATGAATTATTCTAGTTGAGAGACCGTCGTAGATGTGGCTCACGCGTAGAAGAGACTTGGACCACTGTTCTCTTTCTCAACGCAGAGTAAAATTAATACCTGCATTATATTAGATGGAACCCAACAGGTTTTTAAATTGGTTTCATTGCTTTCAGCAAGATGGATGCTAAGATGGAACTAATCATAAAATATCCCATTATTCTTCGGAAAGTGTAACACTAAATCGTACAATCCATTTAAAGATATTGTGTCTTGCGAGCAAAACAAGGACTAGACTGGACACTTTACTCAAAGCAATATGACAAAGTATTCTATCCTGCAGTTTAACGTGCACGGACCTATTTCAGGCAGTTTAACAACAACATGAAAAAAGGAGCTTAACACAAAGTGCGCTCAAATTTTTGATTGGTTATTAAGATGGAGGCGGCTCCTGCTTAGACCCCTCGGAGAGCCCCATTGGAGCACAGGGACGTCCATCCCGCTTGGCTCTCGGATCGTCACGCCTCCCGTTGTTGATGAGTTCTACATATCAGGATGTTTGCAGGATGATTTGCATATGAGTGATTGCCGCAGTTCTATGTATGGACGTGTTATTCTTAAAATGGGGAACAGCTGGTTCCTGTTGAACTGCGTTTGAACCAGATAGTGCTGCATCTTTTTGCAACATGTTTGTGTGCTGGTGTTGTGACTTGAAATACATGTTGTTCGTGCAATCCGGCCTTTAAGCGGCCTTCACCCATTATTACTATGCATTTATAGTTCAAGTGTAATTTCATTCTAGCGTAAGCGTGCATGTTCATATTTTGACACTCAACACTTGCAACAATCACCCAACGCATGTAAGAAGCAAAATATCAAAGGCATCTGTCACAAAGAGACACCGGCAGGAACACGGGGGACAGACAACAAGACTGTACGCATGCACGTTTAAATGAAAGCAATGAGACACCAATATATATATTACCCCGTGTTTGTAACCAGCCGTTGTCTGTTGCCTCAGCGTGATGCAGAAGGTTTTTTTTGCCAGCCCCAATGCTCAGTGGTCGATCTATTCCTTCCAGCCCTGAGTACACCTCCCCCTGCTGGCTGATCATCAAACAACACGGGTTCCTTTTGGGATACTGGCGGGGTGTCCCAAATCTAATTACTGTGTGCTAATACACCATGTACTAATTTTGACAACACACTGTTTTGGCAAATAGAGTACTTAAGAAATCAATGTCGGGTATTGTTTAATACAAACCATAAGTCAACGAAGCTGCAGCTTGGGTTCAACAAAAAAACCCAACTTTCAAATCTACACTCTGTAGTACAATTAAGGAGGGTAATAGCTTTCTCGCGGCAGCTCTTTTGGCAATTTCATATTTCATTGCATAGCTTTTAGTCAAAGACCAGTTCGGTCTGAAAATGTGTATAACAAAAAAGCTTAGCAATTAAATTTGAAAATCTGTGATGTAGGAAACTTTTCTGAAACCTCTATTCTCTTTTAATTGCATTGTGGAGCACTCATGAATGCATTACAGCATCACCTCAGGATACGGAACCAAACGCTGGATAACGATGGTTTCTCATAACTTTCTTATTAACTATTCATATTTTCAATGGGAGCGTGCGATGCAACGGTGACAGGAGGGATGAGTTAAATAGGAGGGGATTACATTAGACGTCACGGGACGCTGTGTGGTTTATTCCAGGGCTGTTATCCTGTGTGAGTCTTCCCGTTCATTGTATTTTGCAGTTTGAGCCCATGTGAGACGAGCAAGGCTCTGCCTGCAGTAACCACTGAGATTCCTCTCATGGTACCCGGGCTTCTCTCCTCCTCACCTCTGTCAGGTCTGTGTCCTCAAGTCTGCACACTGTCAGCTCCTGGGCTCCTCTCTCGCTGTTCCTCTTCCTAATGTAGCCATGGTGATGTCTAACTGCCTCTGCACAGGACCCACTGGCACAATCACAGAAACCATGAGGGCAGAGTGCCGGGGATGTGTGTGTGTGGGGGGCGAGGACGGGGGGGCTCCAGCCTTTAACCAACTAGCCCAAACCAAGATCATTATGGTCTGGAGGTTGCTCTTGTTGATATAGAGAGCCGGCGAGCAGCAGAAGACAGTGTGTGTGGGGGGGGGGGGATGTGCACTGGAGTTCTCTTGTCTCGAAGCAGCCAGCTGACAGAGGACATTTTTATCAGCCTGCCGCACACAGTGCAAAGAAAACAGGGAACACATTCATTTGTGAAAGCACACTCCACAAAAGCAATGATTTATCGTTATTTATGCACCTGCCTTCACACTGTCACTTTTCTCGAGGCCTCGTCCACTTTGTGTCCGATGAAGCAGAAAACAGAATAGCCCGAAAATGGGTTTCCTCAAGGCCTGGACCTGCCTGCAAAGGGCACTGTGCACTGCTATGTGACTTACTGTCAACACGCAGACATTTGTAATATTTCAACGCATCTTGTTGTTTCAACTTTGTCTTTGCATTTTTATTGAAGTCTCTTGCTTCTGATCCTCTTTGGGACCTTCGCCAAAGGTAGCAGGGTTCGGTCAATATCGTTCAGCAGCCTACACACAGAGACTCTCCCCTCTTCATATGTTCTGTTTTGACGGAGAGTACATCTGTGGATGTAAAAGCCAATTAGAGGAGGGCATGACACGTCCTAAATGTGCGTGAGAGCGAGGGAGACAGAGCGGGAGCATGAATAAACCATGTCCTAAAGTGGTGTCACTGGGCTGCTGTGTTGGCATGTCGGCAGCGCTCAGGAAAAACATGGCCGTCTCTGGGGCATTGTCTGTAATCCAGCATGTTCGAGCAGCTAGATGGCTTCTTTATGTAAGCAGCCCCTGAGTCTCAGGCTTCCTCTCACATGCTTACGGGGGAGAAATAAATAATTATCAGTATATTTGGTTTGTTTCAGGGTGATTATGAATTGCATTAGAACCGGCTTAGCCACTCTCACAAAGGACTCATGGTTCCAATCAGCTTGAATGACAATACTTAAAAAAATAAAAATTAGGATTAGGATTAGTGTGGAACGCACCTGACGTGAACGCAGGAAATATAATTGTCTTTATCCTCAAATGCCATGCAAATCCGCCCCCCCAGCTCTGAATAGTTTGCTTTCATATGCATTGAGACGAGTCATTGCAAGAAAAGTGGCATCCGATTTTTTTTTTTTCAAAGCGTTTCATCACCTTGCAGGGACACAAATCCCGTAGCGTGCCACGCTGACGGAGAGATGATCCATTGCAGACGTCGTAATTGAAAACACCGAGAGGGGGGTGGACAATTAATCTCTCCCTCTGTCCCCGCTTCAGATTTCCATGGAGAACTACCTCGAAAATGCAGATAATAGATAAGAGCGCTATTGATTGGATGGGGTGGGAGGAGAGGTGAGGAGGTGCTGAGGTTCTCCATCAGTAATCTCTCCGGCTGGGGCTGCAACTAAACAACCTGCAGAGAGGGATAAACAGGCGCATCCATCATGGGACGGCTGGTGCGGACAGTGATGGATGCCTCCACCCTCCACCTCCAACCCCCCCCCCACCCACCCCCCCCACCACACACACACCCCGACAGTCAGGGGAAAGGAAGTGGCACCGGAGAGATGCCTGGCTCTAACTGGACAGGGAGAGGCCTCCCCGGGTGACAGGATACAGTCATTTCGCTGTACGGGCCTGTGTGAGAGTTGTCCCCTGTCCTCCGTCCCCCTTGTCTCTTTGAGTTTGCAGGATTATCCCTCATGATAGATCCTGTTTGTTTTGTCAGAGAGGAAATTGGTTTTGTGAATTTGCGCGCGTGTGTGTGTGTGTGTGTGTGTGTGTGTGTGTGTGTGAACTCACCCATGTATATGCCTCTCGTGAGCTTGTGTACATGTATATAAATTGATTTTGGGTGTTTTGTCTCATTCAGAACGCCCCCCCCACCCACCTAGCTGGCCGGACCCAGTGAGCAGGCGTGCCCGCGCCAGTTTGCCTCAGAGGTGCCAGCCTGATAGATATGCTGTGTGTTTGTGTGTGCCAGGCTAACCCCCCCCGCCTTCCCCCCCATTCTCCCTCCCGCCCCAGCAGCATTAAGATTGATCCTCCGTTCCCTCCTATTCCTTTCTCTCTCATTCCTCTGTGTGCCTCGGCCTTTATGGGACTGTGAATAGGTGAGGCTCACAGGCTCCAACAGATGGCCAGAGCTGTTTCACTGTCTAACACACACACACACACACACACACACACACACACACACTACTGCCCGATGAATGAGAGCCTCGGGAGAAAGGGAGGAAGAGTCACAGTTAGCAGAAAGCAGCACTTAAGAAAGACTAAAAACCAATGGAAACAGAAAGTCGAGCAGGAATAACACGCAGGGAGGAGAAATGGGAGAAGGAGAAGGAGCGATGGAATAACGGCGAGAACACTGCCACAGAAGAGAGAAATAAAAGGGGACAGAGCGCTGAGGGCAATATTGAATTGTAGATTGAGGGAGGCTCTCCCCTCCCTCTTTCCCTCCCTCTTTTATTTATCTCGCGTGAGGCCACGCCTCCCCCCTTTCACTTGTCAGAGCATCTATAACAGTGAGCTGTCTGCACCGGGGCTGCGTGGCGAGCGAGACGAGCTCCTCAATCTGCCGGCACAGAGGATCCGCATCTGGACGGGACGGGACGGGACTGGATGGTACCGGACCCGGGACAGTGCAGGTGTGTGGATTTGTGTCGTTTGCGTGCGCGCGGGTTTGTGATGGATGACAGAGAGCGAGCGAGAGAGAGAGAGCAGCATGTGCATCCCCCCTCAGAGCGGGAGCGCTTGTTTCCTCCGCAGGACTCGCTTGCAGGGCAGCGCATCCAGAGGGTTCAGCGCTGGAGCTCTGCCCTAGTTTACACTCCGACGCTCTGATCCTCTTCTGTCCGCCTCTGAGATTTATGCAAGGAGTCGCTAACTCGCCGGGGTGAGAGAGATAAGACGTCCCGCTCATCACCGGACTCTCCGTTTCACGATCTGAATCAGGGCAGCGTTGACGGGAGCAGCGGTTCGTCTGGGGAAACAAGTTGCTGGTGGGTTTTTTTTGGACGCTGTCGACAGGTGCTGCGTCTCCGGTATTCTCCGTTCAAGTGATCTTGTCTCTGCGCGATAGTCTCCTCCAGTGGGGGAAGGATTGCCGTGTGTTCCAAATGGGTCAGAATTCACTCAGGGAAAACAAATCGCGACAGCTTCCTCAGTTCTTTGGTCCGTGTTGGTAATGAATGTGCTCTTTATCTCCTTGCTTCACATAACGTGGTGAAATATGGAACGTTCATTGTCTCGCCGTGGCTTTTGTGTTTGCTCAGCCAAAAATAAATACTGCTGCTGAATGCGAATGTGTGGGTTTGAAAACACAGAACAGAGGAAAAACATCTAGGAATGATCACTTCTTCCAAAGGGTCCTAGGAATTGAGGAGGTATCCGGCGTTCATCCAGGAGACGCCATTTCAACAGTTGCAGCCACTCCTATAGAAGCCTGCGCGGCTCCACTGGTGAATCTACTCACTATCAGTGTTTTGTCAATATTGTCATGGGTCAAAAGGCTGTGTCATCACCAAGCGGTTAAGAGCAGAGTAGGGGGGGATGGGGGGGATGGGGGGGGTGCTGACCTAGAGTCTGAAATATTTATTAGAGACAGCTGTACTCCGTGCCGTCTGCAGCGATGAGGCCGGGTGGTGGAGGGATGAAGGAAGGCAATGAAGAGATTCAGAGATATGTTTTTAAAGTGTTCATTATTTATCACAACCTGCTCCGCCGTGGAGCCTCTAACCCCCACATCAACTGGCCTCTTTTCTCACCGAGATGCCAGTGGACTAAAGGAGGAGGCTCCTGCTCCGTCTACCTGTCCGATCCCGAGGCACGCCGAGACTGCACACACACACACGCCTACACACATTAACTAAACAGTTAATACACTCACAAATGAATTCACGGTATTTTGCTGCATCAACCCAAACATCCAATAGTTCCACTTGTGATGAAGCACAAACGCACGCAAACACGCACATTCACCACATTGTTAACCGTTTTATTTTGCTCACGTTTCCCTAATTCCTTTTTTTGTTCCCTACATTTTTCACTCACTCTTTGTGGCGCATAATAACCACAAACACACACACACACACACACACACAACGAGCGGGTGCGACGACCTTGAGACCTGTTGACGTTGTTCTGCAGCGGCTGTGCCGGGAATACATAAGAGGCCATGTGGGACTCCCGGCGAAAATGGGGCGCTTGACACTCCGTTTGTAAAAATGACTGGAAAATGTGCAGAGGGGAGGTCGGGTGTAGAGAGGGGGGAGGATGGGTGGGGGGGGGGTCGCGGGGTGGAATGGCGAGGCGTTGAGGAGAGACACCGGCATGAATATGTATTGTATGCTAATGCAGCGCGCCGAAGCTGTTGACTCAAGCTGTTGACGCGAGCAGAGGACATGTTCCCCTGATCGCCACTCTCGGGAGGAAGCGCTATCGACGGGGGCCTTTGTTGGCGGCGCGGCGCCAGGTGGCAGATAGCAGTGGCAGGGGCCAAGGTTACGCACCGCTCGACCGTCCCTGCGGAGGCCCGCAGGCGGCCGGGGGCAGCGCCGCCGTCTGCTCGCTTTACCGCCGGCCCGTCCGTCCCTCGGTTAGACGCAGCGAGGTTAGACTGCAGGGTCCTACAGCAAATGTCTCCCGTTAGCGTCGCGCCTACTTCTACCTGCCACTTTTCCCTGCCGAATGATCAGCTAAGGAGGTAAAGTTCTGAAAAAGAGAACATGCAATATGATGGAAAAGAGGTATTTCCAACACATCTTGACATTATCATACCTGCGTCTTCGTCTACTGTAGACATGTCATTCATATCATTCCGCCATACCCCGTTACAAGGCTTCCCTCCACTAGAAACTGAAAAACATATAATAACGAGAGCAAGGTTTCGAGGGGCGTACATAATTTGATGTTGCTGCTTTGAGGAGGGAAGGAGGCAGCAATCCAATATATATATATATATATATATATATATATATATATATATATATATATGTGTGTGTATATCAGTGAATCTGTGAGCGATTATCTTGCAGCTTGAGTGCGTACGAATGTGTAAATATATTCGCACGTACACACTTTCATTCACACTTTATTTCGCATGATTTTCAGCTTCACGCATCGAGGCGCTTGCTCGCGTCACATTTCCCGCACACAGGGACCCTATAGAAGACGTTAAGCAGCACTCGTGTGTTCCCACCGAGTCCTTGTTCATCTGTATGTATTGAGTCCTGCTGCTAAGGCAGCAGCCGGAGACCAGTGTGTAAACCTCAGTGCTGCTGCTCCTCTCCAGTGACGGCACCGAGAGGCTCTCATGCACTCCCGTAGTCTGCGGCTGATAGGAGCAAATAAGACGAAGCGCATTTCTCGGTGTCTGTACGTGCATCTCATATGTGTGTGTGTGGGTGTGTGTGTGTGCGCGTTCGTTTGTCAGTGTGTACGTGTGATTCCCAGTGTCTCCGCGGCGGAGCGGCGGAGGGGAAATGTAATCATAGCCTGCTGGCCACCGAGCGCGGCCTTTGCTGCCCCATCCGTCTCAGGAGGTGCAGCGGAGGGGGGGGGGGGCCGAGATGTCACCCAGATCTCCCGATTTTTGTTTCCACTCCACGTGCTCTGATCTGCTCTAATCTGCTTCTGGATCGCCGGGACACCGGTGGCCTTTCGCATCGGTTTTGTTCCGGTTGTGAATAATTTATGGCGGAATTAACTGTGGTTGCTAAAAGGGAAGATTTTGGAGCGCAGCCAGAATCCAACTCAAATCCAAAGCCGACCGGCACCTCCAACGTCTCAGCATGTGATCATCACCACCGTTCTCCTCAGCTGCGTTTCCACCGCCGTAGATCTTAACTGACGGGGTTTTGGTTCATCAAGCCGACCGATTGTCTATTTCATTCCTTCTGTCGGGGTCCGCGTCTCCTCCGTTGCTCGCCATCGGCTCCGTTCTCTCGGCGAGGTGTGCGCTGAGATGATTTCCATTAGTGCGACAAAACAAACACGCCCCACTCTCCTGGATTTGGGTGAGCAATCAATGAAAGCACTCGGATAACTGCAGTCTGAGTGGCCCGTCGAAGGTCACGACTGGATGAATACGTGATGCCGTGGCGGCGGCTCGACGACCACGGAGAACTGATTATTTTCTATTCATTGGAACAAAACTACTAAAATCAAGGAAGAGCCAAGACACATTTTAGGCCACGCTGAGCGACGTGACATCCGTGAAATGGGGGAACACGAATTTTACCCAGCGAGTCTTGGCGTGTGTGTCCCCCCCCCTTTGTCGACATGTTGTTCCTATTCACGGTGACTTAGTAGAAGTGCGTCCGTGCCAGAGCGCTTCTTTATTTCCCAGATCCGCTCCACTGCGGCTCCACCTTAATCTCCACTTCTGTGCTCGTCGCCCTCTCGCCGTCCTCCGCGTTCGGCCCGGTCACAACTTCAGCTCCCCACCCCCATCCGCCGCCCCCCCCCCACGACCCCCTCTTGTCTCTCCCTCGGGGTGTCGCAGCTATTGTTGTGCCTAATAAGGTTTATGGCATTACAGGTCTCTGAAATTGGATTTTCTCCCTCCACCATAGCAGTGGGATTACGGGTTTAAGGCCGGGTGCATCGGGCCACAACTGACCTGTGCCTGAACCGCTTTCTTTTTCTGACTGCGCCCTCAAGGTGGGCAAACCAAGAAATTGATGTTCCAACAGCTCTGCAGAAAGCCGGGCAGATGCCTTGTATTCGTGTTCGTAGCTGGCAATTCAACTGATTTTGAATCAGACAGTTTTTTGGCTCTCTCACGTCGACCTCTCTCTCACACGGCGCTCTTTGGTCTGTCCTTGCAACTTTTGACTGTGTTTGATCTAATTCTAGCCTAACGAAGCTTTTGATCTCCCCCGTCTGACACCCAGACCCAGATTTACACGTCCCGAGTAGCTCAATTGGCTCTAGTCCTTCAAACCCGGCTGCTGGGGAATTGATTCCCAGCGATACAGAGATTTGGACAGTCAACCCCGAGCTTATGTTTAATGAACTGTGGGATGCCTTTAAGCTAACACCCCCACCCCCACAAAGGAAAACCTGCTATTGAGGAGTGGAGCATAAGACAAGAGGTGGGTGAGAGAGGGTCGGTGCGGTGAACGCAACATTGAGATGCTGGCAGGAGGCTGGTATTAATTAGGATCGGTCCAGAGCGCCAGCTTAGTGAACTCTTAATTGGGGAAGAGACAGTGCTGGGCATGAGGGGTCGATAGAGGCAGAGCCGGGGTTCCAACGCGCCCAAAATCAATCAGCCTCCCGCCCGACAGGGAGAATGCGGCCAATCAGGGGAAAACACGTCCTCGGACTGCGCTCACTTACTCTCTCCGTCAGACTTCATGGCGATCGACAGACAGAAGGCTCATTCCGTCTGATGCCAGTCAGAGCGGGACGGAGTGTCTTTGATCTGGTCGCTAGGAACGCTTGGAAATGGCATCACAGTTTTGGCGTAACCGCTGCCCAGAACAGGAGATCATTGGAACCAATAAAAACACGATTCATTATCACAGGGACGCTTCGTAGAAAGGAATAACAAATGAATCCCGGGCGTATTTTGGTTCCACCGCTAAAAATAGTCACTTTCTCCTCTTCTCCTTCCTCCCCGGCTGGGTAATAGCCATCTTTCTGCCCTGTCACTTTTTGATGTATCAGCCTCTTATTCACATCAAGGACGAGGCCAGGTGTCGCATTTTCTCTCAGTTGCCACGCTTGTCACGCTGCCTTGTCGCCCGCAGCCTGTTCCCGATCCACTCCCTTCTTCCTCCCCCTCTCTGCTTATTTATATTAAATCTGTCTCTCCTTCATTTCAGCGAGAGACAAGGAAAGTAAATCACATTTGCCAGTTTGCAGCCCGCGGTGTCTCCCGAACGCCGCAAGTTTGTTTGGACGTCAACCTTGGCCCAATAAAACCCTGTCGAAATGAACAACGCTGGTTTGTGTCGTCCCTCGTGTCTCCCTCGTCGTGGCCTCGGCTTCAGGCGCGTTAAGCTGCCGTCTATGAATATGTCTGGCGGTGAATGGAGCTCGGAGGCTTTTATGTTGCTTCAGATGGACAGGCACAGGTGTCCCGCCACCTCTCTTTGATGCCCACGAGTGGCTGGCAGAGCCGGGCCGCTGCAGGAGCAGCCGGGGTCAGAGACGTGCCTCGGCAGGCGGATACGCGTGGACTTATAAGGTTCTCCGGTGTATTCTTAGCCCCCGCTGAGCGTTCCGTTGGGTGCAAAAGCGCTTCGCCAAAGACGGCGTATCAGAGGCGCCATCGGCGGCGGGAGATTAAGGCCAAGATGTAACAGAGCAGTTGTGGAGATGTCGAAGCTGGTTTGGCTCGATTTAACACGCGGGACACCGACACCTGTCCGATCCGAACGCGGATCAGACCGCTCCGCTTCGCAGGCAGACACACAACAAGGCCTTGCAGCTTGACAACGTGACTGTAGGAGACGCGTAGGCGGTGCTGGGAAAGATGTGATGGAGCAGTGCTCAGGTAGCATCCAAAGCAGAAACTAATTATTAGCGCTATCGCCGAAAGTGTTCCGGAGGGTGAGAAGTAATTATGTTGAAAATGTAAAATGCTTGACACTATTTCTGGCTCAGGTCTAATTAAACCACCTCTTGAACTATTTCCGGTTCCCCCAGGCGTCACAGCATCACTCAAATATGGATTTATACCTTGTGGGCGAGCACTCGGGCCGGCGGGACCGCTGCGGTTGTTTGTCTCCACGTCCTGCAGTTCGCCGCAGAGTTTTCATCTGAAGCAGATGTGTCAGCGTCGTCTGTGTGTGTGTGTGTGTGTGTGTGTGTGTGTGTGTGTGTGTGTGTGTGTGTGTGAGGGAGGAGCGGTGGGGCAAATGAGTCATGGTGCATGATGGGAAGGACGGAGACGACGAGGGACAGAATCTCTACACGATTCACACATTTATATAATAAAGAAAAAGGAAAAGCTTTTTAAAAAACAAGACAGAACGGCATTGCTACAGGGTAGTCTGGCTCAGGTTGAGCTCCTTAGCCGAAGTTGCGTGTTATTTTCCAAGAATTCATCCACTCTGGATCTTGTGTTTGCTTACAGAACTTGGCAGTCGGGCGGATTTCCGTGGGAGAGAAGAACATCAGGGACAGCTCGTGTAGTTAGGAAGGTAAGGCTGTTGTGCACCGGGGATGTGAAGTACGCTGCCCTCACACACACACACACACAAACACACACACACACACACACACACACTCACATAGAGTGGGTTTGCTAGCATGGATGCAGATCCTCTGTCTGATTGCTGCAGCCACTGTCGGATTCTATATTTGTTTCCTTCGCATGTGAGAACAGGGCCCAACAGTGCAAGGCTCGCTCTCTGCGGGGCAGTCTGCCTATATCTGTCTCTCCACCGATCCGGCTATCGCCAACATGAGTCACATTCTAGTTATTCTTCCTGTTGCCATGGATTCTACAGACCCCCAAGTAAAAACAAGCCACAGTTAATGGTAATGCTTTATTTAATGTGTGGGGGGGTATCGCAGCGCTTTGGTCGGCCTCAACATCACCCCGTTTGATTCGAATTTCATTCATCCTGAACAAGAGGGGACGGTTGTCGTCCCCGCCGAGGAGGAGTTTGAAGATCACAGAGAGCCGCGGGTGGAGGCCAGAGCAGATGCCCCCTCAGTGGCCGTCAGTCCAAATGGTAATCATGAAGAAGAAAAAGAGAGTGAAATTATAGATGCAAAGAGAGAGAGAGAGAGTGTGTGTTGGCAGAGGACCAGTAGCCGGCTCGTGTTGCTGCCGTGATCAGAGTCCACCCGTGTGAACAGCTGGATAGCAGCAGATGAAGCAGCGCTCAGCACATGTGGCCATATTATGTACACAGCTGTGCACAGCTGACTCATTATCACTAGCAAAAACATCAGTATGCGTGACTGTAATCAGCTCTTCCTTTTTTTGATTAGCAAGCGGCTCGCCGCCATCGGCTCCTAACTCAGACGGGTTGGTTTAGTCGTTAGTTTTATTCCTTCTGTTTTTTTTCCGCTGCGCATTCGAGGGAGCTGAACTTTGAATTTTCTTTCCGTCTCGTCTTTGTGAAACTAGCTGGAGCAGACAGTTGAATGATATGCCTTTATTAAGCTATTCTGTTTGAGCGGTGAGGTCTGATCTCCACTTCAAAACCCCCAAGTGTGGGGACGGCGTTCACCTCTCTCTTTCTTCCTCCTCGCCTCGCTGGCGGAGGAGGCCCGACGGCGGTGCAGGATGAAGAAAAAAAAAAACACGACTCTTCGAGAGAAACTCTTCAAAGGAGCAGTTCATCTGACTCGTGAAGACCTCATCAGTTCCATTTCCGTCTCTTAAACCACTGCCCCCCCCTCCCTGCATAGAGCTCTGGTTGTTTACGAACAGCGTGGAGATTTTGCTCCCCCACTCTTTGCAGCTGGTTGCGTAAGGTGCTTTTGATATCTCGTGAGTGGCAGCGGGATGGTCTCCCTCCCCTCCCCTCCACCCCGACAGCACCCAACTCTTTGCAAGATTAGCCTGTTGTTTGGGGCAGCTTCTCTTCAGACTGACTCCTCACATCCCCTCTGCGTCATGTGATGCTCTGGGGGTATTTTCCCGACCCTCATTTTCCACATCAGCAAGGCGGGTAACTGCGAGCTTGCCTCCATGCCCCTGCCCGCCTTCTGCACACTGATTAAAAGTCAAATATTAAAGTGCTCTGTTGTGAGCTCGGCTTAATTGATTCTTTCCGCCGGGTGCACACAGAATGGGCTGACAGCAGGCGATACCAGGCTTTGTCAACATCGGGCACGCTGCCTGGCGGTCAGGACGGCACCCCAATAAAGCCCCCTGTGAGCGTGCCAGCCTGCGGCGCCACACACACACACACACACAGAGGCCACTTGGCACCCCGGCCAAGCTACTGTAGAGTAACAACACGCAGGCAGCTCATTCTTTTGCCTTCGCCTGCCTGAGAAGTTGGCTCGCCATTTGTAAGGAAGCGGCTGTAAATAAAGTGTGTGTGTGTGCGCGCGTGTCTGCGTATGTGTGTGTCTGTACACTTGAGAAAAAAAAAATCTCCCTGTCCACTTGCATAACCACTCAGCCAATTTGAGCTATCTGGGGCGACGGTGCTGAAAGGAGGTTTCATCTGAATTCCACAAAAGGCCTCCTCCTCCTCTTCCCCAGTTCTCCTGCCGTTCACATAAAAGCTTTAATAGTTTTAAATCACAGCCCTGTTTAACAATGAGCTTTTCCAAACACAGGAGGGCACCAAGCATGTCATGGCTGACCGGCCTGTGAGGACATCTGGTCGAGACGTGTGAAGGCTGCCCTATATCGTTTGCCTGTAGTGTCTTACCCCCCCCCCCCAACTACAACGTGGAGATAATTAATTGAATCTCTGCAGCAGTAAAAGAGTGACCCCTATCTCCTGCATCGGGCGAGAGTTTGTAATTCTTCCCCTGTCCTGTCTGCTTACACTATGAATTTACAGGCCATTTTATGCGCTTCTCCAATTGGCTGTACTGCCCATTTATTTTTAATGCCTCCCCACTTCACAGACGGGAGAGAGTGCAACAGCAATCTTGGCGCTATACGACGCTCATTAAGTGCGGACATTCATCCGTGACGCTTCTCTCATGAATCTTATTGACCTTTTTCGCTCTGTGAAATCCACGGTAAAAGGTTATTAATCCCCCCCCCCCCACAACCCCCTTACCCACCCGGTTGAAAAGCCAGCTGTATATCCTGTCCTGTCCGCTGCTTAATGTTCCATCAGCGCTGATGGGAAGGTGTGATAAGAAAGGTTTGAAGGTGTGTGGGGGTCTGGCTATTGAGGGCAGTGAGCTGTCCGCCGGTGCGGTAATTACTCTATTAGTGAAATGGGCCCTCGCTCGGCGCTGACAGCGCACTAATTACAACACAAGGGTGATGAACTTGATCAAAGCGCTGCTAATTCATGTTTAATAAAAGAGAGCGAAGGGAGAAGGCGGCGAAGGGGGCGAGCTCGGTTGCCTTCGGGCTGTGTTCGCTGAGGTCGTAACCGCAGCGCGGTGCAAATCCAGCGCGTTTGGCTCTTGGATTTGGACACTTGGACGGTCGTGGCATTGTTTCTGCGCTGCTTCGGGTAGTAAAGGCCACCGAAAAGCAAGCCCAGTGTTCCCTTCCTTGGGCACTGAGCAGGGTTCCATTTCTTCCTTTACCCGGTTACTCTCCTGCTGTGGATCCCAGTGGGGCAGTGGGGCCCCTATGGGAGGGGGGCCTCGACAGTTGGTAGGGGCCTAATGGAGGGGTCTAATAGGAGCGAGTCACAGAGACCACAACTGTGACCTTGACAAGAGCCTGTGGGGGCAGATTGAGAGGACGAGGGACAGAGAGGTGGAGTGTCGTTATAGAGGGCGATCTGTATATTCTCCTCTGGTTTCTCTCTCTCTCTCTTTCTCTGACTCTCTGGCTGAACTTTGCAGACCTCTGTTGTCCAGTTAAGTGGCCGCACAGACAACTCAAGCATGAAGGCTTCCTCTCTCCCCTATGTGTGTGTGTGTGTGTGTGTGTGTGTGTGTGTGTGTGTGTGTGTGTGTGTGTGTGTGTGGATGCGGATTCACGTCTTATTGCTTGCTAGTCACTTCAGCCATTCTCTTTACTGAGGGAATTCAAGCTTCAAGTGGGAGTTATTTTTGTGTAGATGCTAATGAAGTATTCTGTTTGGGGAAATTATTCTTGAGATCACAGAAACTCCTCATAACAACAGGCAAGCTAGAACAGAACGGATTTTTAACTTTAGAAGTCAACTTCATGTTCCAATTAGGTTCCTGAAAGTTTGCTGCCAGAAGTGTTTTAAAATTGATGACCGCGGGGACCGTTTGAGTCCCTTAAGCAAACGGACTCCATCACCACTGCCGGCCTGAAATGTCCTGTTCCTCCACGGCGGAGTACGTTTGTTACCAAAACGTTTGCCCGTGTCACAGCATCAACCAACAGTCCTGCTGATAACTTGTGCTTTGTGTGAGTGTGACTCTGTACTTTGTGTGCGTCTCCCTCCTACAGGGCCCACGGGGCCTACAGGGACCGCCGATGAGCATCATCTGCAGTAAGCGCCACTGACCGCCTGATCAATCTGAGCTCTCATTAAAAGGCTGCCAAGCCTTTCGGAACCCAATACAATATCAATACTGTAGCACCACAGAGAGACCTCCATGGCTGTTAGGCAGGCCGCTGGCAGCTTAGCTGTCATTACTGCGCAGGCAGCTTGCCAGAGACCCCCTTGTGAGTAGCTGGCATGCACGGGCCATGCACGGACCACTTAGGCTCCCCCCGTGGTCCCAAACACAGGTCCATGTAGACAGATGGGCCCTTTCGGGCATCTGTCCAGGGGACGAGGCAGAAAGAGATGGATGCCGAACTGCAGAGGAGGAGACGGCCCGTGCATCCCCACAATACGGAGGCACGATGTGGGCGGCGTGCGTGTGTGTGTGTGTGTTGACTGAATACAGTTACACTCTGTGGTTTCACCTGAAGCTTGTTTGTTTGTTTGCCGTGCCTATTTTCTGTGTTGATTAATTACTGTGGGGGAATTCAAAGACCATTAGACATGTTTCAACTGAACCAAAAACACACACACACACACACACACACACACACACACACACCGTGTACGTGTTGTGACGTACTCAAAAAGATTTTCTCTTGGTTTTGGCTCATATCCCGAGATTCCTGCTGGGAAAACCACGAGCATTGAATAGCACTCCGTGCTGATTTCTGAGTGGAGCAAATAGGGGTAATATAAGTGGCCATACATAGAAAGCCTCTGTAATCCAGATCATTGTGCGGAGGTCTCCCCTCTGTGCTCCAGTCTTAACCCCCTGTGTGGTTCCGATAGGGGAGGGAGGGATCAGTGTGTGCGTCTCTAAACCCGCAGTAATCCGCCGACAAAAGGGGCCAGGAGAATGCCGGCCAGCGAGGGGCGGCAGGGTTTGGACGGAGAGTGGGCGGAGTGAAGAAATAAAGAAGCAGTTGAGGTCTCTGCAACCCCCGGGGGTATGCTTAACACCGGAGAAGATGCCCCCCCCCACCGGTGCAACATCCCTCTGCGTCGTGGGGGCCCTTTTGAGCAGTCAAGAGCTATTGTTCATCAGCTGAGTGAAAGAATCCCGAGTCCAT